TTGGATTTACTAGACTGTGGTTGATGTCTGTTGTAATGATTAATTACATGAGCATGTATGTACGATACTGTATGTCCTGTGGGGTGGAGCCCTGTGTGTCAGAGGCTCCTGGATTATGTAATTTATTTATATTTTAATGCAGTCAAGTGTGGGGCCCGGTTGGGAATCTGCTTTATTAATCCCTAATTGAGCTCCACGTTACCCACCCCGTTTGGGGGGGGGGGGGGGGGTTTCAGTAATCTTACCTCGAATCCTTCTCTTGACGTTGAAAACTCTTTGAAATCACTCTTGGTTCGAATCCGGTTTTGATTTGAGACACAAATGGGAGAGAGAGAGGGAGAGAGAGAGAGCACGGAAGTGTGAGTGAGAGAGAGAGAGAGAGAGAGAAATGCACGGGAAAGAAAAAAAAAGGAAAGAAAAGAAAGGAAAAAGAAAAATAAAGAAAAGAAAAGAAAAATAAAAGAAAATGACATGTGTAAAATATAACAGTCCAGAAATGCGCCCATACACACTTCTGGATTAAATAAATTACTGTGAATAATTTAAATACCTTAGAATTATTTAAACTCAATTAATTAAATCAGATTAGGCACACTAATAATCTCAGTTACCTTAATTAATCTCAATTAATTCTTCAGGGTGTTACAGGACGAAGTCGTAAAAGGCATAGTTTTTATCTTTTCAGACATGTACGCCTTGAACTAAGTGCGGAGTCTGGAGCTTAGAGCCATCCACACTATATGCCTGTTCTTGGCACATCTCCCATCCTAATATCTGGCTGTTCCAAAGAAGCATTCCATTTCAAAGGATGTGGCCGGGCTCCATCTTTATGGTTGACCAACTAAACCATCTATTCAGTGAGGTTTAGATGTTCGGTGAATCATGAATGCTAGGTTACGAAAGGTAAGTAAGCAGGTTGGTCATCAATTCGAAGGCCGTGTTTTCATCTCCAGTCATGTGATCTTTGATGAATTATCATTTCCGTTTGCTACTATCCAGTCTCCAGGTTCTACTAATGGCACTTCTTATGATGATATGGTTTTCATCCCTGTGGTGCGTACTGAGGAGCGTGTCACCCCTGTGACTCCTCCGCCGGTAGCTCCTACTATGGCAGTTTTATCACCACTTCCTTATAGTTTCCCTGCTCCAGTTGAGATTACTCATGCCACTAATGCAACGACTTTGGCTGCTTCTAGCATTAGCAGTGATTCGATTACTATTCCTGCTATTGCTGTTGAAACAGCCCCTGACGGAATGGAATTCCATAAATCTTTTAATCCTTCTTTGAATCCCAGTTACCAAAAGCGGGAGAATCTTCGTTACATGCCTAGCGTAGGATAATGATGCGTAGGATCTTTGATCGATAGGCTAGGTCTGACAAAGGAAAAGGTCAAGGGTAGACTCCGTTCAGTTGGAGCGAGGGGTTATGGAGGTAGTGAAGGGTGGTAGTAGATCACCAGTCTAAGACTTTAATCGTTAGTGCCTTTATCCAGGTATCCCTACTTTTTTTTAGGGTAAGAGCGTAGTTTACTTTTTGAAAGGCTTCCAGGAGCGATACCAATAGCAATACAATACCGAGGTTCACATTTTTTTTTTAGAGAGGGTCGTTGTTAGAACTCCAGCTGGACTAGAAGGAAAGGGCAGACTACCTGAAGCTCTCCTGACAGGGAGAAAGGAGGAGAGGTGAAACCTCTAGGCCAAGGAGCTGAAGCCCGTAAGTCTGAGAGAAGGAAATGTAAATCCATTATCTTCCTTGACTTCGTTTGGTAGCTTTTCATCACGTCGCCTTATCATTAAATAGTCCGAGTCAAGCATAAGACTAGCCTTCTTATGAGCCAAGATTAAATGCCAGGGACCATTCCTATTCCATGCCACGGGGCATCCCCTTTTATGTTAAAATGCCCTTGATCATAACCAAAGAAAGGCAAGGAAAGACTTACAATCCTAGGAGTGAAGAGTGAACACATTACTAGAAAAACTAGTTCAGTAGACAGGGGTGACCAACTACATCTGCGTTTAATTCAAGAGTTTGAAGTACAGAGATCTTTCCTAGGGGTAAGTAAAGGATTCCTTCTGGCCTTCTCTTCTGCTCTGGTAGCTAAGTCACTCTTCTCTTTCCTTTATTAGGAATAGACAAGTCTCAGTCTTGCCCTTAATAGGAATGGAATCAAAATTCGGAGGTCAGCTTGTTTTAGGTCAGAAAGGGAATAAGGTTCTATCTCACTTGAAGACAAGGTTCAGTGTACCTGAATGCCCCTAATAATAAAGAAAGGGCATTCAGGTTCAAATCCAATTCGTGAGGTAACTCTGCCTCTTCACTAGAGTCGAGTTAAAAATTACATCCAATCACAAACTACACGAAGGTGCTCCTTTTTCATGGGGATTTACCGCACAGAGGAAGAGAACGAACTTCAAATATCCCCTTTCCACTCAATCCAAAAACAAGATCGGACGTTATTCCGGTTCGTCTCCATTTTTGTGAAAATATTCCTCAAGCAAGGCAGTCGATAAGTCATCGAAGGGTTTGTGTGAATAATGGAATGGTAAGTATTACTCATTTGAAAGTTTCCCACGGTGATCTAATATCTTTTCAAGAAAATGACGCAAGAATCTGCAGTGAAGAAATAAGGAGATCTTTCTATATCGAAATTTTAGTTGAAAAAATCATAGGCAAATTCCGGCCGGTAAGAATGTGGAGAAGAACCAAAACAAAATGGTTCCACCTACTAAAAACTAAGAGGGGATGCCGCCTACTACTAAAATCCCAATTTTTGCAACAGTTGCGTTCTTCTATGCAAGAAGAAGACTTAGAAAGAACAAAGAAGTTTGGATCCGAAAAAGTATGCTTAGGTAGTTCCTTCGCAGAGCACAACAGAAGTCCTATAGTTTACAACTCTTCTTTTTATAGTAATAAAGATTTCTCCGCATCCCCCCATCAGTTTACTATGAAGAGAAGAATCAAAAGGATTGAACTACCTACTCATTATTTGGAGGTGAATCATAGAACACCAAAAGCTATGGTATCTTATGGACCTAACATAGGTCACATCCCTCACGACATAAGATTGAAAGATCTAAACCTTCTTCTTCGGAGCGGAAACAGATGTGGCCAAAACATATAAAGATCAGCGTAGTCGCTCATAGGGACATATCTATCTGGATAGAGGAGAGTCTAGATCGATTCATAGATAGATTTCTATCCATATAGATAGGTATCTCCATGGATAGAGATAAAGATAGGGATCCATCTAGATCTTGATTCCCTCTTTCCATTTTTTTTTTCTTGATTGCCTTTTTTTTTAGGACAAGTTTTAAATCTTAATGCAGGCAAGGAAACATAGTTTTTCTATTATTACTTACTGGGTCAGAGCGTAGACGAGCGAGTAGAGCCCAGGAAACAGGGAAGCCCGTCATAGAGCAGTCTTCAACTTCTAGTCGACTGCTGGCCTGAGAGAAGGCGGCCTCCCCCGGGAAACATGGCCCAATTTCTCTTCTTTCTTTTTTATTTTGGGTTTCTTTATTTTTTTACGGGCCCAGAACGCTAAAATAAAAGGTGGGGGAGAAGCAAGCCGAACCTTTGATCGACCTGGACACATAAAAAATTCTCGGCGCCGAGAGAGATTTGAGATTCCGTAACTAACTCAGTGAGTGCTTTCTAAGAAGGGCTTGGAAGAAGAAAATGAAATACGAACAACCGCGCTGGTCGGAATAGATCGACTTTCATGCTAGTTCTTTCTCCAGCATGAAAGTTCCATTTCAGGGAAGGATGACGTACCATGATACTTTCTGTTTTGTCGAGCCCTGCTTTGGTCTCTGGTTTGATGGTTGCACGTGCTAAAAATCTGGTACATTCCGTTTTGTTTCCCATTCTAGTCTTTCGTGACACTTCAGTTTTACTTCTTTTGTTAGGTCTCGACTTCTTTGCTATTATCTTCCCAGTAGTTCATATAGGAGCTATAGCCGTTTCATTCCTTTTCGTTGTTATGATGTTCCATATTCAAATAGCGGAGATTCACGAAGAAGTATTGCGCTATTTACCAGTGAGTGGTATTATTGGACTGATCTTTTGGTGGGAAATGTTCTTTATTTTAGATAATGAAACCATTCCATTACTACCAACCCAAAGAAATACGACCTCTCTGAGATATACGGTTTATGCCGGAAAGGTACGAAGTTGGACTAATTTGGAAACATTGGGCAATTTACTTTATACCTACTATTCCGTCTGGTTTTTGGTTCCTAGTCTTATTTTATTAGTAGCCATGATTGGGGCTATAGTACTAACTATGCATAGGACTACTAAGGTGAAAAGACAGGATGTATTCCGACGAAATGCTATTGATTTTAGGAGGACTATAATGAGGAGGACGACAGACCCACTCACGATCTACTAAAGGGCAAGTAGCTTGATTGGTTCGAATCCAATTTGTTATGATGTTCCATATTCAAATAGCGGAGATTCACGAAGAAGTATTGCGCTATTTACCAGTGAGTGGTATTATTGGACTGATCTTTTGGTGGGAAATGTTCTTTATTTTAGATAATGAAACCATTCCATTACTACCAACCCAAAGAAATACGACCTCTCTGAGATATACAGTTTATACTAGAAAGGTACGAAGTTGGACTAATTTGGAAACATTGGGCAATTTACTTTATACCTACTATTCCGTCTAGTTTTTAGTTCCTAGTCTTATTTTATTAGTAGCCATGATTGGGGCTATAGTACTAACTATGCATAGGACTACTAAGGTGAAAAGACAGGATGTATTCTGATGAAATGCTATTGATTTTAGGAGTACTATAATGAGGAGGATGACAGACCCACTCATGATCTACTAAAGGGCAAGTAGCTTGATTGGTTCGAATCCAATTCATGAGATGGCAGTGATCTTTAGTTGGCCATGGCCATAGTGTGCTGTTTTTTCACTACACCACAAAAGGCCTTTCGTAGCTGACGAAAAACGCTATTAATCACTATCAATAGCGCTTTTTAGAGCGCTAGGACAGCAGGCACTATTATAGGTCCTAAGAAAACATAGCGTTTCAAGAGAGTTATAAAAAATGCTATAGAATTGAAGTATTATAGCGTGTAAGAAAAGTTATTTTCATCCTCTTACAGCTCTTTAGCATAGCTACGATACAGATTAATAACTTTTTTTCCTTGTTATGTTCATACTGTTGTAACTTTTTAAAATTATTATTGATATCCTTTTGAATTCATTCAAATAAATGGTAATTCCGAGATATGTGATATATCTAAATAAGAACATTCAAATTAAAACATAAAAACATTCAACATATCAATTGTTATCAGTATCTACCAAGTTGTCAATAAAATTACGTCTACAACATAATTCATACAGTGTCCAAAACCTTAACATTCAAAACAAGTAAAGAAAACAGAGAAGTCATCTCCAAAACATCTGAGTGCAATGGTGAAGTAAATCCTTCCATCTTGACATAATGCTTCAACAGAAAAGTCATCTCCATTGTTTAACCTGTAAGAAAATGATCCACTATCAAAACAATAATCAAACTCAACTAAAACTTCCACCATTTAACCTATAAATAAAGCAAGGATTGTGACCAGAAACTGCAAAAAGGAAAAAAAACAAAACACAGGTAAAATGTACACTATGAGCATACCTTGCGGGACTGCTTCTCGAGCTTCTCTTGCCCAGTTTTCTGAAATTGCAAACATGACACCATTGCAATAGGAAGTAAGACAATGATACAGAAAAACTGAACCAGCCGTAGAGTTATAAGAATCTTATAATTTCCAAAAACACAACATACATACAAATAGTACTTGCCAAACATAACTCAAATAGTTCAGGCAGACATATGGCCCACAAGATTTATGCTTGACAACATGAGCCAATCTTAGTTGGAACAAAAATGGGAGCTATATAATTGCTAATTTAATCCTTCTTTGTACCTGATCTCTTTAGGAACATGAGACCAAGTATGATCATCGAAGGTAATGACAATATAAACTTCACAAATATGCATGAGTGCCCACACAGGATTTCATTCAATTGTAGAAAGGCATGCAACAATTTTCAACAATGTTCATTTTAGTACTACCAAGTAATGGGGGGCCTGGGCTGGTGGGGGCCTGGCCTAGGGCATGGGCTAGGGGCGGGGCCTGGGCTGGAGGGGGGCCTGGGCTAGGGGCAGGGCCTGGGCCTGTGGGTACATGGTGAACGAGGTCTTTCGGGTCGCTTCGCATCAAACACCCTTCAGCAACTTCTGCAGTTCCAACCCAGTCTAACAGCTTACAGTTGTTGGTAATTTTGGGTAAATTAGTACTCACACTCTGACAATAATACAATGAATATAAGCAATTACAAATAAAAAATACAGGGAAAAAAGAACAGGATACTTGTGTTTCTAGACACAACAATTTAAATTCCTCCTGCGATATTCAACAAAGACAAATGAGATTCAGATTGTAGCTAATTGTATCAATTTTATGCCAGCATATCCCACAACGTTTAAGGAAATCTATTCCAAGAAACAAAAAATTATGCAACATTGTTAAGTCCGTAGTTGAGCCCATTCAAGTTTGTTAGAAAAGGTACCTATATGTTTCCATGCAAAGAAGTGGCAACCTGGAAATTCAGTACCAATAGAATCAAGCATATTAAAATTAACTCAAGGTTAACAAAACTTATAAAATTTTTGCAATGAAATAAAACATTATTCTTCTAAACAGTGAAAGAACTCTATAGTTAAAACCTGAGTATTGGCAAACCAAGATAAATGAAAGAACTCTAAGAGATTTTTTTAAAAGTAAAATCAAAATTAATTGTAACGTCTTAGA